GCATCACCCATGCATTCACCTCCAGACCCGCAGTACTGTCCTATAATAACCGCCTGTTTTGCTGTTGAGGTCACCCCTTACAATTCAGTTGGTATTCAACTAGAGAAATTTCTTTTTCCCAACAAGTGTGCTACCAACTACCTAGATGAAAATATCGAGACTCTAATGTTTTGCCTTTTAAACTCGTGACGCAGTTAAGTCGATGTCTACAAGGGCCTACTAAGTGACACTACTCCACTCCTAGTGTATTCTGCACTTGCCACAAAATGAATGAATTATTACTGAGAAAGAGAGAGCTGGCGTTCGGAAGGTTCATCCAGCAAACACAATACCGAAGTCACTTGGGACGTTTGTCTTCTTTTACTGTTGTTGGCCCAGAACAAGAGAAAGAGTGCACTCGAAGAAAAGCAGTTTCCCCACAGAAACCGCGACCGAAAATATATCCTGGGCTAGAGAGACCTTAGGTAGTGCGGAAGCAGAAGTTTAAAAACCGACAGTGGTAAGGCGTTATAGTGAAGGATAAAAATCGCTTGTTCTATATGCACGTTCAATCCCTTAGAGGCTATTAGCCAGCAATAGCCACAAAAGGAGTTCACTTGCCAGTAGACGCATACTTAGAACTAATTCGGACGACCTACAAAATCCGGCTTCTTGTAAATGAATTTTCTAAGATTTAGGAAAAGTATGTATTCCAAAGAAATGAGTTGGGGTGAGGTTGAACAAACCTCTGAAATTCAGCAGGGACAGGAGCACTGACGAGGGAGGCCATGGGAGTCTTGTGGACTTCGGCGAACATCGTTGACAAGGCCATGGACCGAAAAATTAAATTTGCCTTCGAAGCCGAGTTCAGTTGCGTTTGAACCTCCTGTAGCAGCGAATCCAACAACTCCACCTCCTGCAGAAGACATGTGTATGTACCAAGTTAAAATAAGTCAGTAAAGCTGTCAAAGGCAACCAGCTGCTGGTTAACATGTTTTCATTTTAATCTATCAGCGCCCGTAAGCAGGTACATAGTAAAATAAAAGAGAAGAATTCACCTCCAGCTACGCCCGGTGAATTTTGCGCGGATAAGAGGTTGCTTTAATTGCTGCCTCAAAACACAAGTCAGTAAATAGTTATGGCTACAGACTTCAAAAACCCAAACTTTGAAGTAACGTGAGAGGGCATTAAAAATATAAGCGTTTCACAGTCAAATTATGAAGATGGCATGTAGCTTATCGAAATATTAACCAGTTTCGAATAAATAAGTCAAAAGTGGACTCGCTTTCTGCGCTACCAAAATAGCAAAAGTTGTGAATATTTTATCAAAAAGCAGAGCCTAGGGTACGGCGAACATAGTAAGCGCAATAGAAACTATTAAAAAATATCACTGAAACTTTCACGATAAGCGGCGAAATTCCTTGTTTTTGATATACGTTACAAGAATGTCAATTTTGTATGCAAAAACCCTACACTCACTACTAATTCATTAGGATTGCATGTCACCTCAGCGGGAATTACTTTAGCTTCAGGGGCTGGTAAAGACCGGGGTTCGAAATAAGACTCAGGTTGATATTAGAGCACTATTCGCCAACCCATTTTTTGTGTGAATACAGACATTTAATCCTATTTCCAATATAAGCGCAAATGTGAGTCCCAGGAAGTAATTGGGAAGAAGCAGCTGTGATCGCTGGAGCAATGGCTTTATTCACCTGATGTTTGGGATTCCCCCGCGGATCTATCGCTAGAGACAAGAGCAGAAACGGGTAATTATTATATAGGGAGCTGCTATATTTATGGGATATAATCGTTATGCTACTGCATATCTATTAAAATTTACGGCTCCTTTCTTTTCAAGGATGGTTGCCCGTTTGTTCGCTAATTGCTTGATGACCGGCGTGCAGGTCGTAACGTCCTGAAATTTCATCACACGTGTTGGACTCGGACATGATGACCACTCGACCATTTTGCTCCCTGACGCTGGCATTAAATGTATCCGCCTTTGGGCCCCCTCCCCCCCCCGAGTGACGAATTGCTTTGACCAAACTGAGCCTCAGCACCGAACATGGCGTTGTTTGCGACGAAATCGCATCGATTCCTAATTTAAGCGAGCGATTACGTGCGTTAAAAAGGTTTCGGAGGCCGTCGGTCGCATTCTCGTACTACTCGGAGTTGGAATCGCACACAGCCGGAGGCAAGCATAAGACATCTGATAATGAACCCAAAAAGCCCAATACAACGACAAGAAACATCCAGACTCGTCTATAGGATGTGCTGCAGTTGCAGACAAAGCAATTATGTCGGCGAAATTGGAAGACTTCTCGGTAAAACTGATTTGTAGGGCCCCTCAAGATATCTATCCTCCCGCCCAACTGCTTAACGTATTTTGTGGTCAAACATTTAATTCTTGGCTAGGGAGCGTAAATTAATATGCAATTGTGGCGGAAGTGATCAAAAAATATTAAATTAAATAAGATTGTTTGTTTTAATATGATGAAATCGAATAAAATTCGATCAACATAAGCTTCTGTTCCGCAGGCTACGAATGCTAATCGAGGGAAATTTGACCTTGTGTAGGAGGAATTTAACGAAAATGGAAATTCGTCCTCCTATTGGCGGAATTTAACGAAAAATTTTAAAGTCAGGCTACCGAACACTTAAAAGTAGTTTTTTTTTTATCAAAAGTCGACGGGATGTTTGGGGCCTCTAAAATCAATCTTGCCGATATTTCGAGAGGCCAATTGCCGAAAACGCGGCAGCAGTGGGAAGAAATAAAGCCAATTCTCAAGTTGCGGCTGATTCGACGAGACCCGGCCACACATTCAAATTTGATGACGCCAAAATTCTCGCGAGAGGTGACTCGTGTGAGCCGCAAGTTGCTTGAATCATAGTTTATAAGCCCTCAATCTATAAACAAATGCAATGACCTGTCCAAGCACACTTGCTGCTAAGGCCGAATTTAGCCAATGGAATTCGCCACTCGGGGAGCGCACAAGCGAACGCATTTCCTAACGCTAGCACCAGGGAGCCAGATGGCCGAGCAATCATCACGCCCAAGTGCCACACGGGTGAGGAAATTTCAGCAAGTCACGACCCGCATGCCGGCCACCAAGCAATTAGCGAACAAGCAGGCAACTATCCTCAACAGAGAAGAGCCGTAAATGGTCATAGGTTGCACTAGCATAGCGAGTTCAGCCCACAAACGTAGCAACTCCTTGTACATAACTTAACCGTTTCTGCTATTATCTCTAGGGATGAATCCGCGACGGAATCCGAAACGTCAGACGAATAATGTTCTTGCCTCAGTGATCACATCTGCTTCTTCTTATTTTCAAGCTTGTCGGAAGACAAAACCCAATGTCTGTACTGCGTTCAGCGATACAACTAGGTCTGCGAACATATTTTTAAGCGACTTTTAAGTAATCATCCGAAAGTACAGAAAATGTCAACTGACGCTAACTTCTGTTAAAAAAGAATAGATATTCGAACAGCTCAGACAAGATGGTTTATCTGCATCTGCAAGCACAACAAAAGGTTGGCATTTTGCGACCACCTGAAAATTTGAGTACGGCTACATGATAAAATTGGGTACATAATTATTCATCTGTCAAACAACGATTACGCCGATAGGGAAGAAGGTGACTGTTCAATCTTTAGAAACATTTCTTTAACCATCTTAGTTTTCGAACTCTTACTGGAGTCCATTGTCAGATATCGAAGAGCCATCCTCTCCTCTATGTTTGCATACATCTGGAATGCGAACAGGTGCCTGTTTGGAAAAAAATTATAAGTTTCTGGAAAGAACTCAAAGAAGGGCGACGGAAATCGTGAAAGGCCTAACTACATTATCATACGAATGCAGACTTGATTGACTTAATCTATTTCCCCTTGAGTACAGGCCGATCCGAGATCTCACAAATCTAGCGGATTGGGACTACACCCTGGATTGGCCACAACAAATATTTGTGGGAACTCCTTCAAAAATCAAGAATCCTCATATCAGCTAGGTGTTTGTCGTCTCTCGTTTTCACAGCGAGTTTTCAGTGTCTGGCGGACAGGACAAACGCAAACAAAAACTTGATGCATATTTATTTAGGAAAACACTTACACCAAACCAACGCTTTGCTCATGCCTGCAGGTAACGATGGTATCCGTCGTTTCCTCGATCTTTCGGGGGGAGGGTATGTGCTTTAATTCCCACTTTCACAAAAACCTTTTGCAAAGGGAATATGTTACTTGCTACTTTATCATAACATATTTATTTCAAGTTTAACATTGTACCGTTTTAGAAGGCTGTTCAAGGACAATGCCAATTGCCCTTAACTATAATGAACTATATATGAGGGCCTTGAATGTCGATTAATCTACTTCCGATGGTTTTGACAGTCCAGTTAGGGAATTCTGACCAGACGTATTCCGGGCGAAAACAAACCTGCTTGAAAATTTCCCCGTTTCAAACGATTAAATGAATTGAAAAGGACAATTGAGAAGGGACAATACTTTTATTCGTCTGACATTTCGAAGTCGGCCGCGGATTTTTCATCAGTGACATTAGCATAAAAAGTAGCAGAAATGGGTAATCCACACACACGCTGAGCAATCATCACGTCCAATTCCATCACGTGTGCTGAAAGTGCAGCAGGTCGCGGCCCACACGCCGGTCATCAAGTAATTAGCGTACAAGCGGACAATTAACCTCGATCGGGGAGTCGTTAGTTGTCATAAGTGTGCAGTATCATAATGACTGTATCCTATAAATACTGCAACTCCCTGTGCATGAATTACCCATTTCGGCCACTGCTTATGCTTATGTCTGTGATGAAGAATCCGCGAGGGATTTCGAAAGGTCAGACGAATAAAAGTATTACCCCAGCGATCACATCTCCTTCTCAATTACTTCCTGGGACTCGCATGTTCGCTTGTATTGATGAAATGTATGTTTAAAATCCACATTATACGAGTGTTCAGGGCAGAAAATGGAGGATTGGTCCATCCATAATTAGCAATTTTCGATAGAAAACCCCAATTAGTTCGGCAAATGAAATAAGAGGGGAGAGAAGTTAATTGAACTCGGTCGTCGCCGGCAGGCACGAAGTTTGCATTTTTGGAGTTTCAGCCCAAAGAACCGATTCATTTTCCCTTCCCAGTTTTTTTGTGGCATTGCCTGTGGAACACTGCGTTGGGGACTTCTCGGATAATTTTTTTTTCACAAGAGATGCAACCGCACTCAGAAAGGAATCGTTAAGGGGTACACATGGCTTGCCTGAGAGAGGTGAGTACGCTGAGATATCAGTGTGGCCAGTTTTCCACTCAACTGGGACTCCAACCTAGCCACCATCAATTCCACAGCATTCCGGATCTCACGGACGCGTTGATCCTTCGCTTGCTTTATAGAGTGCATGTTCTTTTCCTAAATAATTGTAAAATGCAGTAAGCGATAACAAATACAGCCCGGAAGGTGAAAGGAAATTGTGGTTCACATAGGACCAAAATAGAGCTTGGCGACTTGAAATATGAACGTTGGACTTTAGGGCAAACACTACAAAAAGTTATTGTTGACACTCAGGAATCCATTGTAACGAAATGTCGATGGGCTTAATCGAGTGTCCTGCAGAACTGGCGCAATGCTAAACAATAGTTCACCCTCCATAATCTGTGAGGACTACCAGTATGCCGGATTGGGGGCCGAGCGTGACTCACACTGCATATGCCTCGGTACTTCCTGTTGCAGCGCGTTCCCGTGGGAAGACGTTTCCAATATTACAGGAAAGGGACGTGGGTGCAGTGACTGAAGAAGGCTTAACAGACCGTCTGTGCGTGCCACAAACACGACAGACGCGCAACAGAGCTCAGTGATAAAGTCAACATTGTGCGCAAGGAGCCCTGGCAGCCTAACTCACAGTCCTGAGTATGAAGGGTTAAAAAACCTCCAAACCTCGACTGTCAGCTCGGCCTGACACTTCAAACATTCG